CCGCCACTGGCCAGGCCCGTCAGTGTCTCTCGCGTTCTCGCACGGGGAACATCGTCCGCCTCGTTCGCGTTTTCTCCTCGTTGCAATTCCGAGTTTCCTCGTTTCTGCTCCGTTTTTCCCTCGCTCGTACGCCTCGTACGAAGCGTAAATTTGTCAGTCGGTGGACGCGCAAGGACGGTGAGAAAACTGGTCCTCGAGGAGCGCCGGCAATCCGACTAAATGAGACTTTCCTACGATTCGAGCCATAACTCTTGTATTTGTCCCTTCTTTTCCACCTTCCTTCTCCTTTTTCCTTCTCTCTGGTCCCCCTCTGTTCCCTCGAATTTCGAATTCACACGCTGAAGCGTCGTCGCGATCGATCGGATAGACATGGAGCCTGGATCGTGCTGGAGACCGCTTCTGTGCTGGATATGTATTCTCGGTGTGGTGCGAGCAAACGGTGAGCCAAACTTTCGTGGAGCGTTTTTCGTTATTTCTCGGAGAAAACTGAACGTGTCGTGAAATCCTCGAAGCGTCACGTGGCCAGTGGATGAACTCAAGGACGACGTATGTACGTTCACTCGTCCATGGCGCGTCGCGTCGACCTCGCAGCGATGCATCATCTCCTGTTCCGATGTGTTTCGTTCTCTTTCTCTGTAAATTAGCCGAGGAAAATTGTGCGAACCGTGGACGATCGAACTGGTAGCGAGTCTACGCGAGGTTAGGAAACATTCGAGTCGCGCGTTAAAAGAGATCGCATCTCCGACGAAATGTTCGCCGATCGGTAGGAAGGCTCGGAACGAGTTTGCGCGAACTGTTGCACTTTCACGAACGGAAAAGGCTCGAAGAATTGCGTAAGAATTCTAATAACGTATTGTGGAGATTTACGCGCGAACAATAACGTTACACGATGAATCACGCGAACCGTGTAAATCTCATTATTCGAGTCTCATTGCGTCTATCGACTCCAAACGTGCTGTTATTCGCCTACGGATTCAAAGAATTAAATTAATTTAACGCGTTGATTTCCTTCTACGACTGGTACATTAATAAAAAGAACCGGTTTCGCGAAATCAAATGGGAGACACGGTGTTACCGCGTAAACTTAATTAGTCGCTTCAGCCAGGTCGATCGATCTTCCTCCTCGTTACTTATTGCTTCGTATCGCTTCGAATCCTTGTCCGAGATGAAATCGATTATTCAGGCTCCGTTTCATTAGTATATATCTATTATAAGCTTTCCGTCGAAGAAGGAAAGGGAACGCAAAAAGGAAAGTGATTTTCCACGTATCGACTAAAAATTCTCTATCGATCGCAGGAATCGAAGGTCAGAAGGTCGTTGCTTTTTCTAGCAGAAGGTAGACCAGTTTTTTCGCGATCCAGTCGTTGCTTCTCGCTTCGTGGATTCTCGGCACGCGGATAGGGGCAATCGAGAAAAGAGAAGGTGAAATTCGATCTGAATTTCTTTTCGAAAAAATTTCTCCTGTAGACTAGAATTTATGCACAGAACTGCTTGTCGCGAGAGGCGACTCCGGAACAGGTTGTCGACGAACGGAAGGCAAAGCAGCAAAAAGTTTGTAACAATGTAAGAAACCTTCGACGCGCTGCCTCGATATCTTTCCGTTGTGGTCGATAGGCAGAGGAAATGAAAAAGCCAGCACGAGGCAAGAAGCGCTTTCGATCACGGACCGAATCGAGTTGCTCGATTAAAATAAAGTGGCGAAGCCGCAACTGCTCGTGGGGAGATGAAATAATAATTGGTCGCGGTTTCGAAGGATGCTTGAAAAATCATGTCTAGAATTTATCGCGAGATAAGGGAAAAGCAGCGGAGATCTCGCGAGTTGAAACACGTGGCAAGGAAAGAGAAACAACGAGAATACCAAGGGTCGGTCAGTGACGTACTCCCAGGATCAAAGGCCCCGCTTTTGCTCTTCGGGCAAATGGCCGAGCGAAAACCTCGCGTGACACGAATGCGCGAAAACAAATGATATGTCCAGCGAAGCTATTCGGTTACGTCTTATTGGAGGAACTTTAAGTACCAGTACGTGGGATAAAGCACTACCTTCGCATCTGGTAAACGCGTATCTGGGAGCTGGTTGTCGCGAATCGATGCTCGCTCGACGGGCAGTTCGAGGTCGCAGCGCATTTAATTGCAAGACGGTGACTCGCGATCGAGCGATCGCCTTGTATGCAAAACGAGCATTCGTGGAAAAGCAAGTCGCGTGGGTGTACTGACAGTGTCGTGGTCATGTTCCCCGAAACGACCGCGCTGCGAGAATTCGCAACGCGACTCCGCAATATCCGGCAGAGCGAGCGGCTTTCTTTTCTTCCGGACGCTCGAACAATCGTTGAAAAAGATGGGGGGAGGAGAAAGATAGGGAGAAGACGGGATAACGCGGTCCTGGACGAGAGGAGGACGCGAGAGGGCCTTCTGGAATGGGAATCGAAGGTGGGAGTGAGAGTAGGAGCGAATCGGTTGGGAGAGGCCATAGCAAAACCGGTTGCCAATCTGCGCGGACGTTGGACACCGTCCTCCAGGAGGTGGTGCAAAGACTAAAAAGACGGGACCACTCCGGTTTTCAGCAAACCGACTAAAAGATCGCGAGAAAAATAACGACGAGGCGAACAACAGGATGCATTAAGTCGCGGGAAGAAAACCGCCTGCGACTCTGTTGTCGATCCAGTTTGAAATCGAAACGATCGGGATTTCGGATCTGAAATCCGGTTTAGATATCGGACGATCTATCGATTCGTTCGATTCTGCAGGATATGCTTTAATGCACAGGAAAATGGGTCGTAAAACGATTCAATCGATCAACGTTCAGTCGTTTCTCCGAGGTAGTTTTTTCGACAAAATCGAACTCGGGATAAACGAGAGGCAGGGAAACTTGAAGGACCCATCTTCGTTGAAAGAATTCTCTCGACGAACAGTCTGTACAGTTATCGTGCCGTATGTCGGAGAAACAATTACCGGAGGATCGTGATCTCTGACACGGAATCGTTTACGTCAACCGAGCATGAATGGTGATGCAAGAAACGCGCCATTCTTCGTCGCTTCTTTAACGATCTACCGCGTTATTCCCTCGTAAACCCGGCGAACACTTTTTTCGCTAACTTTCGACATTCTTCTCAAGAGTTACTTACGATTCGCATAATTCTGCAGTTCGCGCAATCTGTTCAAAATCCGTCTCTCATGAAAAATAAGGTTATCAAAAAAGACCGGTCATTTCACGAAGGCTCGTGAAGCGAATTTCTATCTAGCTGGAAGATTTATTCCGCTTTTAAATCGCTGCGGCACGCCGTTGTAGCATATAAAGGATATCTCTTCACGAAAGCGACACGAAAAGGCTTGCCCCGGTGGTGATAGCATTGCTGACCTCTTCCCCTGCTAGATTTCTGCGTTTCTGTAGTTCACGCGGCTGTTTCCCCGGCCAAGTATGGCGGATACCGGTCGGACCACTCGCTATACACGCGTGTCACCGTGGGCTGCGAGGGCACGCGTGCTTGTGCGTGTGGAGACGAAGAACAGACAGGAGCACCCACGGGTAAATTCCTGCCTCGCCGTATAAGCTTCTCTCTCGTCGAAGAAGACGTCGTGAAAATTGTCGAGCGGTACCTGGCCTCCATTTTAGGCCAGCATCTTTTTACGGGGTTGATCGCGTGGTACGCGACCGACGCAAACTCCTCTTCCAACCGAAGAATAGTCGTAGGTTCGGTAGTTCGGCTTCAAGGATTTCAACCTACCGGATCTACGCATCCGATATATAATTTCAAGATGGCCTCGTGTCGCGTAGCATAGCAATTTGCGAGAAAAGGATCGTAATCATCGATCCACAGTCGCCACGTTTTTCTTCGTCCGAGTACATCGGCCTAATTCGCCGGCGGGGCTCAATGGACGAATTGTAAAGCGCAAATTACGTAGGCGATCGTTAATCACCCGCGCGTCATTTTCGACGATACAGCTATCGTTCGAAGTTGCCAGTCATTTGTAATTCATTATCAGTCTTCCTTGTTGGCGATCCTGATCGAGTTAAGATTTCGAATCATCCGATCGGATCTGTCAGGCTCCTAAATTCAATTGTTCGATTACTAACGGGATTTATCATCGTGCGCTTGAGAAATTTAAAGTCGTGACTCGAGACGCGTTTTGAGTCTCCAGACGTTTCAATTGATAGCAATTAGCCGGAATTGGAGAAACCTTGAAGCAGCCTGCCATTGAAATCGAAGATTAAACAAAAAGCGAACGCTAACGGACATAATTACGCTGATTCTGAAAAGAAAGAAGCATAACCGCGGCTACGCACGGAATGGGCAGTCTTAATGGAACAAGGGGTGGAAACGTATCGTGGCGAAAGTGCTGCGTACCAGGAATCTTCCAAGGAGATCCATTAGCGAGCAGAAGAAAAAAGGAAAAAAGCATCCGAGGATTTCCTTGATCAGATAGTGGAGCACCGTAAAAAGAGGCGACATCGGTTATAAAATAACGGCAACGAAACGGCCGTTCAACGAAACCGGTGGTCGGTTGTTCTTCTACCTTTAATATCGAATTAACGAGTAATTATCAATAAGAATAATAAAGATCCGCGTTTACACGAATTCTCGATCGATTGGATTCATAATTCCTCTTCTCTAGCAGTCAGCTTCGAACGAGTTTGAATCGACGCTTATGATCCGTGACCAATTTGTTTACACGATTTTTACTCGACAAACGATCGTTCGCAGAAAATGGTTCGCAGAACGAGATGCTCGTTTTATCGAACGATCTAAAGGTTCGAGAAGCTAATCAGCTTAATCAAGACTCTTAAAGCAAAACTGATCATCTTCCCGTTCGCTTTACCGGCTCTTCCGTAAAGAGTTGTCCATAAAATGAAAATCCTCCAAGAATTTCTGTTTACGAACGTCGTATTTACAAGGATTAAAAAGTCGGTCGACCATCGATATTTCTGTCGAACCAGTTATCTTGAATCTCTCGTGCAGTTTCCCGTAAATCGCGCATCAGGAAATTTTTATCTTTAACCAATAATCGTTAATTCGTCTATGAAACGCTATAAATCGCTTCGATCTGTTAACGCGTGAACCACCGACAATGAAATTTAAAAAGCAAATTAATCACGCGTGAACACGTGGCTCTCTTTCTCAGCCTCCCGGAGGAAACGTATCGCTCGAACGCGATATCGAGATAAAGGGGTATTTTTCTAAAGCGAGAAAAGTGCTGACGAGTTGGCGTAATTCGAAGTGTGATTCAAGAATTCACGCGTTATTTCCTCTCCCGAGAGGAACGAGAAAAGGACGGACTCGAGGAAACAATTAAACTCTGTGATCAGATAAGCGCGCGAGTATCCTCTGGAAAATGTATTCCGTACTCGGGTCGTGAGTTACAAAGTCTGGATAATAAAGCGTGCCGGAAGTCGCCTGGAGATGGCTCTAGCCCGATTCGATGTCTCGACGATGACAGGACGGAGTCTCGTTCGAACGACAAAGGATCGTGTCCCAGCTGGAATAATTTTTCCATAAATTATTTCGTTGCTCGTGACGCGAAATCTTCTTTAACGAGACCGTAGTTGACCGACGGATCGTGCGCAAAATCCTCGAAGTCTTCGGCGTTAATCTTTTCGCGTAAAATCGACGTCGCGGTATCGAGGTTCGATGTAACCGAAGAGCGTGGGTGGAAGAAAAAAGGCGCATCGAACGGCCACGTAACGACGCGTGTGAACGTTTTATGCACCAGCGAGTCGAGGCGTAAAATTGTTTAAATAATCGTGCCGCCCGTATGGCGCACGGAGATTACCGAAAATGTGCATAACGGTAATCGTCGGCTACGCGCATAATTCGTGCACGGATCGCCGCCACGATAAATTATTCATTCTGCATTTGGCGCGCGCGCGATGCACCTTGCTCCTTGTGCCGCGTGCGTTTCGTGACTAGTCCTGACCCCTCGAAATACCGGTGTCATTTGCATCGCTGCACCGCGACGATTTCTTCGGCCTGTACACGGAGTCTTTGAAAAACCATAATGTCCTACGGACGCGAGCGGAGAAGTTTTCCAAGTGCCAAGAAGGCATTCTTGATTAATCCTCGTAGAAATGGATGCTGGACATTCGAGGGAAACCGAAAGTATTTAGCATAGCTCGAAGTTTGCGCTTAACATCGTCTCGCGAGTTATTTACTCGAAGACACCGCGATTCCAGGTGTTTGCTCGAGGATAACCAAGCTCGTTATGCGACGCACGATCGATCGCTTCCGTGCTATCGATTACGCGCGACGTACGGTAGCGTGGATGTATCGTTTTTCGATGACGTGTGTACGCGTCATCCGCGGCGAAAGGGTTAACAGGTAGTTGCCGGGAACGTCATTCTCGAATCGATAAATTTGTAAGCACTCGACGCGGCGTACGGTAGCAGAGGATAGTTCTCTGAGCGATCAGTTTCGCGGATATTCATCGATTTCCCGCGGTCCTATCGACGGAATCCTGAACCGCTAATGACCATCGATGATCAGTGATTTACCGCTGACAGCGGGCCGGCGCGTAACCAAAGGAACCGGAATGAAATCACCGTTACGAAGTGTGTTGAACGCCGCCGCTCCTCTTTTATCACTCTCGCGGCCAACCTGCTTCGCATCGATTACGAACTTTCGATCCTGTTACGTTACGCAGCCGCGTAGAGCCACTCCGCGTTCTGCTCGCCGCTTCTCTCTTCGCGCGTCGATAAACGGTTAAACGAATTCTTCGCTGCAATCTCTATGGACAGCCGGTAATAACGGATTAATATCGCGAATTCGCAGCGAGCGGTCGATGTCAACGCGTTTCACGGGAATCGTTTGCAAGAGGAAGCGGATAAATTCCGTTCGAACCGCTCGCGTCGAGATAGCGAGATACGCTGTTGATCCTTCGCAAACGAGACAAGCGTTTTGCTTGATTTACGTCCGCGATTACCGTTCTCTCGGTATTTCGAAAGTTAAACTTCGCTCGTGCAGGTTTTTTAGCGGCTCTCTCGCCTGTACGCTCTCGGCGCGTAAAATTGAGACGCTCCGAAGATCCTCGCACGAAGAATCTGTCGTGCGTTTTTGCATGTAACTCGCGCCGGCGAGCATCCCGTGCAAACGTAGCATTGTTAAGGGGGAAAATAACTCATGCTCGCGCGTGCAGATCGAGGAACGCCGACGTACGCGAGGAGTAATTGAATTACGCGGAGAGACGACGTTTGAATTAGTGAGGTCGCGTTGATGGTCGGTGGAGGAACGCGAGCGGCGAATTTATTTGCATAACTACGAAATCGTAGAGCGTCGTTTAATTAACGTCTCGCGTAACGAGCCTCGCTGAGCTACGACTGGACACGACATGGCTGGAAAATCGTCGCAATTAATATCGCGCCTTGATTACGGTCCCGATGCAGAGTATCGTGTAACGATTAAAGGCCGAGGCTCCTTTCGCGATCCGAATCGATCGACCGTTTTGGATCGATACCATGTCGGATCGCCCTATGAAAATTAATTATCGGCAACGCGTCTAACTGTATTCTCGCGGCGTATCGGGAAGTAGTAGTTTCCAAAGAATCGATCGCGCGTCTCTCTCTGCAACAGCCGGTGTCATTCGCGGCGAAAGGAATCGTCTCGGGTGAACATCGTGTCTCCAAACTGATCCTCCGATCGTTAGAGATCCACGGGGGTCCCGCAACCCTGCTGGCTCGATTGGTTAGCCAGCTGCTGGCAATGAAAAGGCAATAACGGTCATTATTATTCCACGATGATGCAAATCGTGGACCGGTCAATTGGTTTGCCGGTTAATTAGTCGTCGGCGAAACGCCTTCGTTTCCCGCTGCTCGCAATGTTCCTAATTGCGAGGTGCGATCGATTTCTCACGCGGGCTGCTCCACATCTACGCGGAAAAGGATAAGCGCGACACGCCTACGTTCGAGCTTCCTGTTCGACCGATATCCTGGAATACCGTGAGTTCAATTACCAGGTCGAAGAAGCTTAAAATATCGAAGAGATTAGCGGAGTATGCCCTTCTCGACTCGCTCGTCCGTTATACAGCGAACGTCACGACGCCCGGAGATTACGAATGCCGAATGCGTCGTCGTCGCAGTACCGGATTTCCACCGTTTCGAGGTGCCTTAGCAGGAAACGAATGCATCGGTTGTCGTCGAGAATTTCGCCGGTAATGTAACGCAGGGTAGAACGCGTATATCCTTGACCCTTGACTGTGTAATCATAAGAACAGTAGAACTCGGAGCACGTTATAGAACGATAGCGCGTAATTATGCGCTTCTGCTCCTCTTTTAACACTCGGTTAGTAATGACCTGAAATTATCGTAATGTTTAAGAACGTACGCCGCAGCAATTTACACCGATTTTTCTCTGCCGGGGCTTTACGAGACAGTCGGGGATAAGGCATCGCCGTGGCGCAAAGGAGAAAGAGACCGGAAATGGAGAACGCTCGATGAGGGAACATCATGTAAATCGAGGTAAAAACATTATCGACCGTGAAAAGGATCGCGTAGAAAACGAATGGAAGAAACGTGAGAAACGAAGGGATGGGAGGAGAACGAAGGGTCACGGACCTTCTCGAAGATGTACGGATCTGCTTCGGTATCGCCGCGTTATCCCGTGCTGGATCTCGAAATCGAAACAAAGATCGTCACGAAGATTCTTGCCGCTGAATCAGAGAGAATTAGAATTACCTGCATGTGGATGAAAAAAGTGTTGTTCACGGGAGTACAAAGGGCGTCACGATCGCGAGGAGGCAACGTTTGATAAATGGGACTCGAGAGCGAGGTACCGAAAGGGCAACAGGATCGCGAAACGTGCGGAGGGCGTCGAGAGAAGGGAAAGAAGGTCGCAGGGCGGGAACAGGTCGGCTTCGACCTCTTCGTAAACTTCCTGAGATCTTAATCTCCAAGAACTGAGCGGAGGGAACGCACAGGGAAAAGAGCGAAGGAATTCTCGAAGGTAGAAGATGGTGCGTGCTTCTCGGATTTAATGGCGGAAAACTCGGATAAGGATGTCGGTGAACGGAGATGCGAACGTTCGGAACAAACACGATGACGTTCGGAACGATTACTCGATAACGAAAACGACTTCCTATCGACGGCATGAATTACGAGGGCAATGGACGCTCGAAAAAACTGACCGCTCGAGGCTCCTTGATGAATAACCGAAACAGGAATCCGCGCGTTTGACAGCGAAGTGAACGAATGATATCGTACAGAAAAAGACTCGACTCGGTAATCGCGTCAGGACGCTACCGATACGCGAAAAGAACACCGGAGGGAAGAAGGAAAGAAACGATTGATTCCCGGCACGGCAATCGGTCCGAGCATTTTGAATCTGGTATTCGACGAGGAGCGAGTCGAGGCTTCACGGTAAAAACGACGTGGACGTAGAAAAAGACCATCGAGTGGAAAAAGGAACAAAAGAAAAAGGGTTACGGACGTACCTGTAAGAATAATCGCGTTCTGTAACGCGTAATTGCGCGCGTAACGATGACGCTTCGACGCGACTTGTTCGACTCTGAAATAAGGTATATCTTTTCTGATTATTCTGGCCATTTAATGGCGCGACGATTGATTATGGGAAGCCATATCGATGGAGTTTATTCTCGGCTCCACCGTTCGAATTCAATTATCCACGGAGGAGGTAAACGATCTGCACTGGCGATTTCTCTTCAGATTTTCGATTTTCACCGCCACACCATCGCGATATTGTAAACCGGTGGTTTTGGTGTATCATGCGGACATTACTCGCGAACGGTGAAAGTATCTATCATCGAGTTCCGCGAATAAACAGGCACCGATCCCGCTGCGACGTACACGAGCGCTGGTTTCTCGAGTGCTCGGTGTCGAGATGTTCGCTTTTCAAGGTCGAGACGTTTACGACTTTATGGGGCAATTACCGTGGTATACTGCGAGTTAGTTTGCGGCTGGACTTGTTCTTTCTTTTTGGTTTTCTTTGTCTGCATCTTTTTCCCACGTGCGTTCCTAGATTTCACGCACTCTCCGAGATGTTTCGCCAGTTTCGGGAACGAACGGATATGTGTTCCTGTTACGATTGGACGTGCAAGTGGGCGTCGAGTTAAAGCGTCTTCGATTGGTTTCAGTGCAAAGCAAGGTGAGATGTTCGGAGCAATGGATGGAGGTTGACATCGTGAGGAGTAGCCCGCAAGCGAGGATATATCTGCAGCAGATGAAGGACTTTCCAGGTAAACAGTTCCGAACGGTTGCGTGTCGTCGACGTGGTCGTGAAATATGAACAGGAAGAGATGGCTCCTCGTGTATTTTACACGCTGAAACGTGTCTTCTTTTGCAGACGAGGCTTGCAAACCGCAACTGAACAACGGCGTCGCCACGTTCCGATTACCTCTCCTTGAACAAGACATGCTGCGATGCGGTATCACTAGGGTCGTTAACAAAGTCACGGTACGACTTTTTACACCACCGAACTAACCATTCGCTTCTGAATTTATATTCTCTCTAATCATCGATCGACTTCCTTCTCCGATATTAATCCGCGCCGATCGAAATTATACCTGCATGATGTTACGCAGGGTCAAAAGGTGTACTTCCATCGGATAATAGTGGAGGAGCCGGCGGATTCCAGCAAACACACGTTCACGGTGAAGTGTGTTATAACAGAGGTGGTGGTGAAACCTGGAATTTCGATCGCCGCCAATCATACCGCGGTTCGACGAAGCGTCCTGCCAGCAGGATTTCAGGAACCCGAGTAAGTTCTGTTTGTTTATTTAACATCCTCTCGATGTTCATTGGCCCCGGATACTACGACAGCTGTCCAACACGGTTAAGTGATCGCGGACAGCGCTTATTACGTATTCTCATTGAGAGCAACTTTGTCCGACAGATGTTGAATGCTTTTCAGAAGTAATAGTCATGATTAAATTCCGGGCTTTTAGTAGAACATTCGCTGTACAGCGAAATAAAATTATTCAGATGGATGATTAATAAATGAAGCAAATAGAAAAATATCGTTTGATCGTGTTAGGACGATAATTACCGACGTACCGACGCGTTCGTTCACCCTTTAATTGGAGCAAGCGTTCGCGGTAAGATTATGCTTTCACGAGTGGCTCAATCGCGTTCTACGTAACTCACGATTTGCCAATAATTACTCAGCGAAAGGTATCGGATTATAGAACGCGGTAACGGGTGTGAGAACAACGAAGGCCGTGCTTTGTAAACAGCATAGACAGAAATTCGAATCCCAATGAGCTAACCGGATAGTTGCCGCGGTCATTTATTCATCGACTACAGCCAGCTGCTAGAACATCTGAAACGTAATTTTAGACTCGAACGTATCACACTTGCTGAATTTGCATATCGTGTCGTGCGTAGCTGGCATGTAATTTTAACTTGCAACTAATGGGAAGTGGTCCTTTTTTTCGTCACCGCAACGACAGTCTCCCGAGTTCCCAGGCTGTCATTAGCCTGCTAAGCAGAGTCGTCTATCTTTTTCTTTATCGTTCGGTGATCGATCATGGGTCGTGATGCTCGTTGGTCACGAATTCATCGAATCTCATGTCGCGAAAATCTTTTCCTCTCGATCCGAGGAACATTCAGAAAATTCTTTCTCGATCTCGATAACTGTTTCTGCTTCCGCGAAGTCGATGGAATTGCATGCCTCGATTCGATGCATCCGTCGCCATCAAGGATATCGAAGGACGATCGAACAGCTGAAATTCCGCGAATAATTCTCTGATCGATTCATCGATCGCCGCGCTTCCGTGCCGGCTCCGTTTAAAAACGCAGCGGAAATTAGATTGCGTTGTTCTTCTGACGATTGTACCGTTCGCGACGCGTGCTGTTCGATCACGCTCTTTCGCGGAAAAGATGAGTGTGCGGAAAGAGAAACGCGATTCGGGTCGACGGAAGGATTCGATGACTGTCGAAGTAGCCCAGGCCGTACGGTTCATTAACACGTTTTCTAGTTTTTATGCCTCTCAAGCGGGTTAATTCGATTGAAACGCGTACATCATGGTAATCTCTCGATTCCATGTCGCGATGTGCCGTTTCTTCGCTGCTTTTTATCCGGAAGTTACATTCGAACGCGTCATTTGCCAGATGCTCGATTTTCTTCTACAAAAATCCTTTTTGCGATTCGATGCCAAAGAAAGACGATAAAACGATCATCCAAGGCGAAAGAGAGAGTGCTAGGTTTTGTACAAGTTTCCTTCTTTCAAAAATTTAATGCTTGTTTTTATTTCTCGAAGCGTGATCGACATCAGGGATGAAATCTCCGAGTCGGCACCGGTACCAATTTTGGGAGTCGGTGTCAGGCAAGGTAGCAATTTGGTCACCGGAGAATTGAACGTCAGTCCGGGCACGCCTTTGCAAATGGAAATCTTTTTGGACAGCGGATCGGCGCCGGTTTACGGGTTACTGGTCACCTACATGTTGGTCACGGACACTAAATCGCAGGAGGAAACGATAATCATTAACGGGTAATCGAATTCGTTCTGTTTGATCCGCGCACAAGCAAGCAGGAAGCTCAGTTTGATTCGTCCTCAGCTGCTCCGTGGATCCTTATCTCTTCGAGAACTTCAACACGGTGGACGGCGACTTCCTGACAGCGAAATTCCGTGCTTTCAAGTTCCCGGAAAGCACTTACGTTCAGTTTCGCGGTACCGTTAACGTCTGTTTGGACAAGTGCCAAGGGGTACGTTGTCGTTCCTGTCGAACGTTAAAAGCAGAGACGATTTACGAATTTTATTCGCCTTTCGATTTCGATCACTCGCTGGCTCCATATTCCAGATCGAGTGCAGCAACAACCAAATAGGATTCGGTAGAAAAAGAAGAGCCATAGACGTCTCGGACACGGATAAGAACAAATTGTTCGAAGTGACGATGTCCGCCTTGATCAAAGTGGATTTCGAAGAAGATGCCGTGGTAGATAAAGGTAAGTTCTCTGGATTCGATGTTTAGCGTCGTTGTTGAAAATGACGTGTGTTCGACAGCCCTGTCCGAAATGTACATCAGAAGAGGGAAGAACAGGACGAAAGCCAGGGCAGTCATCGCCGAAGAGGTCAGAGAGCAGCCGACGACTCCGACGATCATCAGGACAGAAGAGAGAGCTTTCATAGCCCAAGAAGTCAAAGAACATTTCAAGTACAAGCTCACCGAGTCCGAATCGAGTGGCTCGTCGTGTAGAACGGTGATCTTGCCTCTTCTTGTCTTACTCCTCTGTTTTTCCAAGTTTCTGTAAGTTTCAGGAGAAACGATCCAGGAGCTGACGATCGCTGATTGTAAATAGAACGCAGAGCTTGAGAACCCGGCAGAATTCGAGTGCAACGCGAGAAGAACGAATTTCTCGCCGGATGTTAGTATAATTCTTACTCTGTTTACGTATAGAGAAACGGTGACTATCAAACACTTTTTGTGATATCGAATTCACGACCGATCGCTTCTTTCTTTTAACACGGTCCGAAGTTTCTTATCGAATCGATAGGAAGCTTCGAACCACGTTGACTTCGGACCTTCACTAATCTCGGTTGACTTTTCGAAAAATATAAGGAAGAATAACCGCAAAGCTTCGATTACGGCTTAAGAGATGGTTCACTAGATTTCTCCGCTCTGCGACCGCCAGATTTTCATCCGTTCCCTTCCTTTCATCCGTATTCCGCATCATTTTCGTACTACTTGTCCCTTAGCTGTAATGCCCGCGAATAACTACACAATATAACAAAGCCGTTATGCTGCCAGAAGAAAATTGGCCTTTGCGAGCGGAGAATACCGAAGAGACCTAGTCGCGCGACGAGGTGTAACAATGCTATGTGACTTAAGTAACTTAGACAATTATGAGATAATTAATCGCTGCTACGATCCCAATATAATTATAACGGAACGCGCAAGTGTAAAATAACTCTTAATAAAGCGACAACGAACGCGTGGAGGACGCGTACTAATTACTCCGCCTCTGTGAAGAGGTATCTTAATTTTATAATCGCCTATGGAGAGAAAGAAAGAAGGTTAATAAAGAAAACTCAAAGAAATGTACACGATATACGTGCATTTGGAATGTTTAATCATCATATATACACGACAATCCCGTATAAAAAATATATATATGTACATATATGCATATGAACTTTCGATAAGAAACGGTAATAGAGAATAACGAATCAGAAGAGTCTGATTATACTTTCATCGCTGGAGATTATTGACCGCGCCGCTGAAAGTGCTTTACATTCTAAACACTCCAAACGTGCTCTCTGGTATAGGTGCGTTCAATGCCGCGGATAAACTCAGACCGAGTACCACTCTGGTATCAACTGGATCGATCACGCCATCGTCCCATAGTCTAAAAAATAATTTAGATGTACAATATGTCCTCGTAGTCCTTTTTAGTACATAAACCTACCTGGCACTAGAATAGTAGGGATTGCTTTCCTTCTCAAATTGCTCGATGATCGTCTTTCTCGTCTGCTGCTCCTCTTCCGCGGTGTACTGAATTCAAATAACGTTAAATTCTATCGACACAAACAATCAGAAAAGTTTGATCATACCTGTTTCTTTTCCCGGGCACGCTGATCTTTGGTAATTTGTGTCATCACGCCAGCAGCTTGTTCCCCTCCCATCACAGATATTCTGGCATTAGGCCACGAATAGAGAAATCTCGGAGAGTAAGCTCGTCCACACATACCTGTGTCAAAACGAATCAAACTGTACTGGAATTCGAACAGTCATTTACCGACACGAGAAGTACCGTAATTTCCAGCTCCGTACGAGCCACCGATCATCACCGTAATTTTCGGTACTTTGGCACATGCTACAGCGTTCACCATTTTTGCTCCGTTTTTAGCGATTCCCCCAGCTTCAGCCTCCTTGCCCACCATGAAGCCTGCGATAATAAGTATCAGTTGCTGTTGCAACACTACCGAAAAACATTTCTTACCCGTAATGTTCTGCAAGAAAATAAGCGGTATTTTCCTCTGAGCGCAAAGTTGCACGAAATGCGCACCCTTCAACGCGCTCTCGGAGAACAATACACCGTTATTCGCGATTATTCCCACGGGGTAGCCGTAAATTCTTGCGAATCCTGTAACCAAAGTTTCTCCGTACTGAGCTCTGAATTCGCGGAACTTGGAGCCATCCACGATCCTCGCGATGACTTCCCTCACGTCGTAAGGTCGCTTCAGATTGGTACCAACGATACCGTAAATTTCATCGACAGCGTGTACGGGTATTTCGATCTCCTTCTTCACATTGACATGCATAGGTCTCTGTCTGTTCAAGTCCTTGATAATTTGCCGAGTCAGATACAGAGCATGGTTATCGTCTACAGCCTGATGATCGGTAACACCGGACTTCCTGAAATCGAACGCCTGCAACTTTAATCGTGAAAGTGACGATAGATTAAAGAATATTCCTCAATTACCGACAGTGCAGCGCCGCACCACCTAACTCTTCCGCGGTAACATCCTCACCCGTCGAAGCTTTCACCAGAGGTGGTCCAGCCAAGAAGATGGTACCCTGATTCTCCACGATCACGTTTTCGTCCGCCATTGCAGGCACATATGCCCCTCCTGACGAAAATTCATTCGGATAGTATCGAAACAAGTTATAGAACAAAATACAGACCTGCCGTGCAGCTCCCCATGACCACCGCGATCTGAGCGATACCCTTCGCGCTCATGTTTGCTTGGTTGTAAAATGCTCTACCGAAATGCATTTTGTCCGGAAATACGTCTGTTTGCCTAGGTAAATTTGCGCCACCGCTGTCTACCAGATACACGCACGGTAACTCATTCTCTTCAGCGATTTCCTGCGCTCTCAGATGCTTTTTTATCGTAATTGGATAGTAAGAGCCACCTTTTACGGTCGCATCGTTCGCAATTATCACGCATTCGGTTCTAAGAAATAAAGGTTCATCGGATATTTTTTTATATATTTGTATCGGAAGTAGATACCTACCCTTCGACTCTACCGATACCGGTAATAATTCCTCCGGCCGGTACATCCTCTTTGCCGTACATTTCGTAACCTGCTAACTGGGAGAATTCCAGGAAGGGAGATGTTGGGTCGAGGAGCTTGTTGATTCGATCTCGTGGTAATAGCTTTCCTTTCTTCGTGTGTCTCTCTTTTGCCTTATGTCCTCCGCCTTCTACGATTTTTCCCACTACCTCTTTAAACGTGTCTACCACAGCTTTCATCTGAATGTAATTTTCCTAGAAATTTTATTTCATAGTTCTATTCGGTGACAAAGACATTCGACAATGTTTATAATTCGCGCCGTTTGTAGTGTACTAGTTGCATCACATACGGCTCCACTGTATTTTGATAAAAAAAATTCAGTTTATCTTGCTCTATTGATAACGGAGATCGTATCGATAATATTATAATATTTCTCGTATCATTATCAAAGCATATAGCAATGCTTATGAGAAATAAAAAGGCGAAAAGGTTTTGTTTTACTAATAAAATATGAGCATGTACTATCTTTCTAACCTGATATTCTGGTGAATTAGTATCTTGCGTACAGCCGATAACGATACCTTCATCATGAAACGTTCTTAGGCCGTAGCGCAAGTGTCTCGTTAAAAAGTTACCCTTTCGTAGCATGTTTATTAATGGTATTTTAATTGAACTTTCTACTTTGTATTACTTTACTCACAACAATTTGAGCACATGCCACATTGCAGTTCACAACAATATCATTAAATGTTTTTTTTTAGGATCGTATTGCAGTGCCATCTCAGTGAATCATTCATCGCTCCGTGAATAGCATTCGATTTGTATTTCACTCATTGAGCCGTTAGGCGGCACCACCATTCAATTTTCTTTATGCCGTTTATAAAAAATTTAATAGGAAATTCGTGTTGATCCTTTCAGTAAACTATGAAATATTAGCTAATAAAATTTTATCTATACGGGAATTACAATAAATTCTTATAAATATTTTCTTTTCGTACGTAAAGTATATGTGTTAACAAATTTTGTAACTATGCTTTATATTCTCCTTAATCATTTAATATTAAAGTCCATACTTTTCGAACGAACCTTGTCCGATACAATTGCATCTAAATAAGAATTAAAACTGTAAAGGTTCACTTTTAAAATATTCAAATTAATACCGCCATATTGACGATAGATGTCATTGCGCATCCAGCGATGCGCAGTATTCGTTTTATGTTGTGTCGATGGAATGTTTCGAAGGAGGAGTTTCAGAGAATTGTTGATAAACGTGAATAAGTAATAGGCGTATCCCGATTATTAATACTTGACAGTAATTGTCGTAAAAGTAAAGGGTCCGAAATAGTTTTACGTCGAGTAGAAATTGTATATTAAAACTTTAAAAATGCCGGATACGTCCAGTATATCTCATTACCCCTTAAAGGTAAATATCATTAAACGTTATTATATTTCAGTACTTGAAAGGTTTTTGTTACAGAATAACGCATTTTTCTTTAAATTATAATATGCTGCACGTTGTAATTGTTCTTTTTCTGTTCCACGTTCTTATCGCTTTTTCCTCTCGCATTAGCTCACGGGTATTTCTGTCTGATATTTAATGTGTCCGATTACGGGAACAGCTGTCAGATAATCTTTTAAAGTTATAATTACACTTTACGAAATCATTTACGTATTTTTTTTTATGATTAACGTTTTATAAGAAATAAAGTGTAGTTATGTAGAGGCATGGCAATGAAGGAATTTCATAACCTGTTTGACAAGTTTCTCATATTATCAAGGTGGTTTGTGTATTACCACAAATATATTTTCACGAATTATGGCTTAGATAACTTATTGACTTTATGCTCTGAGATCATTGTTTATGGTCTTGTCGGATTTTTTCAGGTGATATTTGCAATTCATTTAGTCCTAGTAACATGGTAAGGATAAATTATATACTATGTGCACTATAAATTATTTTATAATTATGAGCACTACAAAATATCGAATGGAATGTTTGCTTATATAGTTAAAAACTGAATTTTTAGGGGTATTCAGGGACACTGGTGTCCAAAATCGGTAATGTTTTATAATTTTCTTTTCTTCATTTGCTTGTTGTGGGCTATTCACAATATCGAATCGGATGAACCGCTACAATTTGTAAGCAACTAGCTTTCATTATCTATCACTTATTTACTTTGTATCTCCGTAACAAAGTTCTATATTTTAGGCACTATTTATAAATGTACTTTCCATATTTTTTGACGTTGTAACACTAGCAGTCTACTTTCCACCAACATGTAAGTTAGATGCAAATACTATATCTTATCTAGCAACTAATACCTTCAGCCTGAAAGACTACATGGTCGATTAACCTCCCTAAACAGAAGATGTATCTATCTGATCGCACAAACTTGTAGATGCATCCGAGAAGTTTAGCGCGGCGATTATGATTATAAACATGATCGTGCGCATTATCACGAGCATATATATTCTTCGAATAGGCCAAGCAAGAGGCGGATGTTTAGCCACAATGTTTGCTACGAATCCTGCGATGGGTCAGTAAAGCATCGGATACAGATTCGTGTTTCGTAGAGCTGCATTGCTTCTTCCAGGTTTTGCTTTGTGTAGGTGCATGTAATTCTTTTAAGTACGCGCATTATGTTTTGTTAAGAAAGTTGCAAAAATCCATTTGTGTTTGTTCCGCTTGAACTATCATAAGCAGCATAACGATACGTCAGTTTTACATGCAAATATGTTAAATTGTGCAGTGTCTTGTCCATGTGATTTATGGTCGTGAGAGGTGGAGGCAAACGTTTATGTACGTTTTTGTATTTTAGGCTTTGGCCGACAGGATTACGAGGACATATCTCACCCGATTGCACAAAATTCCGATTTTCTTGGAGTTTAAAATAATAACGTGACGTTCTTTAGATCTGATACGTCCATAATTACGCGATATACTGACTACATTTACGTTAGATTGTACGAAATGCGCGCACGCATAGTCTCGATATACTAAGTCACTTTCTATACTTAATATATTTTAAAAATTTAACGACTGTCGCCTTCGATGCAATAAAATACCAAGTTTTTACTAACACATGTGTTTGAATACATCATGTCGAGAAGTTATATTATTATATTGTAATAATCTTTGTCTCGAGCGTTTCTTAATTTAACTTTATATATTTATTCTACGATTGTACTTGTAACAACGAATAAAAATTTGCGCTAGAATATTACGTTTAAATTCTTTAGGCTTTACTATCGAATTTGTGTATCGGTTATTCGAACGAAATTTTCAAATAATTTAATGGTAAATGAACGTCTGTTCGAAGGTGCCGAAAGAGCAACGAGCGATATTTAAAGCGGCCGCGTAGCGACAGTGGCGCAAATTATCGGCAGGAGGGTGGCGCCACTGATGGACTATAAGGGCCGCATCGGTGTGACGGCGTGGTTCAGTAGTGTGCGTGACCGTTCCGGGAGGAGGGTGGCTCCACGCGCGGCCACACCGCGAAACCGTGCCCACTCGCCTCAACCACGGACGTCCACTAGTTTTCTCGTCTCGTGAAAACATGGCGGCCAGCGACGACGAGCCGATGCATCTCTACGAGGTCTTTCAAAACTGCTTCAATAAAATCGCCAACAAACACCCCGGTGAGTGGCGTCAGTCATGAAACAGTTATTTAACCGTACCGAAATCGCGAGAATTTTGTGCTGTGCGTGTGCCGTGTGAAAATATAGCGTCGAAGGAGTCTCTGTGTCTAGTGTCTCTCGCGAACCACCGTACATTAAATCTCGCGAGCGTTGCTTTGGTGTTTCCTCTGTGTCAACGAGCAATATTTGCAAGGTGCAAGCAGACCGTGGTGTTGTGCATCGGTCGATTAAGCTCCCTCGATTTTCTCCAAGACCGTGCCGGATCGTTCTCTCGACTGACTCGGTCCGTCCTGTGTTTTGGTTTGCTTGTCAGTGCTTTGGACAGTGCTGCCCCGTCGTAGTGAACTAACCCCCGGGACAGATCTGTTCTTCCTTGTGCTGCTTGCATCGTTATTATCGTTCTTTCGTCCCGTATTTCTCGGAAAACGCGATCATTTCGCTCGACTGGCGTACTCGTCGTTCAAAATATAGTCGACATAACCTAGATACCAGAGACTCGTCGCTATCTCACGGCTGTCATGTGCAACAGACTTTCGGGGATCCTCGAGACGCGTCAAGGGATACCGATAAAAAAGAATATCAACGTTATCAAATTATCGTTCGCCACACTTTCTTTAAAATCGCTATTTTCCTCGAGTATCATTCTCGCGAGTCAAAATCTGGTCGATGATTGGGCGAGCTTCTCTCGTGTACCACGTGTCCTCCCAGTGGCGGCGCGGCGACGACAACGACGACGACGTCGACGACGCTGGAATCGTTAGAGGTTAATCGTTCGAACGTAATGCAAGAGACCATAAATTCGGCTCTTTTTCTTGGCAGATAGCCCTGATGGGTCTCCTGGAGAATGGACGCTGCGTGTTTTCCTTTTTTTATTCCTCTCTTTTCATACACCTGTCCAAGAGAAAAGAAATATTTTTCGGTAAAAAGATTCGCCATAATCATTGCGCGAATTGTATCGTAGGGGTTCTCATCTCTTCTCGATTTCGTGTCAGTTTCAGGCACGTGTCTACATACATTATATTTTTCTGGCGCCGATTATCGACGCGGTGCCGAATATTCTTATCGGTTTTTCGAAAACAATGTTATCGGTGGCATTGACGAGCTTTGATTTATCTGCGATAACGTCGATAAGTTTTGTTAATGTTTCGCTGGTCGGTGTACGAGCAAATCCCTGTGAAATTACTGATCAAAGGGAATTGGTAAAGTTGATCGTTTGCGTGTTGTTCGGGGCTGTTAGTCAACCGAGTTTCGGTTGTTTGTTTATCTCGAGAATGCTGTTTGGAAACGTTGGAAATGCTTAGTTACGGGCCACTGTCCATTTCGAGTTCGTTGGAAACGTTTCGTGGTCAAAGAAATTGTAAAATATTGTACACCGTGTTTTATACCGGTCGTTTCGAACTGGGTGTCGCGTGTTACGAGATGTTTGATCAGCGCTCAGAATCGTTTCGAAAATATTGTATCGATTGTACGAGAGATCGATCACCGTCTTACTCATTTTATATTCCAATGTTTAAAGCGCGCGGTGTCGGGTTCGTTAAGTGTCAATTGTCCCGGCGAGTCGGTCGCCAATTGCCAACAGTTCAGTTGATTCTTTGCTCGTTTCGGCCGGTTAATTTCAACGATTGCTGCACCGAGCGAAAACGTTGTTTGCAGTTGCTCCGGTTTCCTCGAATCGTAACCCAGACCTCGTCGTTCATTGTCTAATTTTCAGAGGGTCAGAGTGCGATCGTTCAAGTGCAAGGGCACATCTAAGAATACGGTAAATTGCTACTCGTACATGGAAAATTGGATAGAACTTTGCGCAAAAGAATTTTAGACGTGTTGCGCAGCGAAAGATCGGATAGTAATCCGTTACGGTTCGTGGGTCGAAATTACGCGTAAAACACGAACGTAAGATTTTAATAGCCGATTCGATCTAAAATTATCGAGGGGTGACTCACGAATAAATGTACCCGAAACGGGGAATATTCGTATCGAGAAGGTTTCCTTAAAAATGCTCAATTAATCCTACTTCCACTGAGAATCGGAAGAAGTACACGGTGGCCAATTTCTTGGCTCGGAAGATCGAAGGATCGATCGGTCGTAAATTGCGGCGACGGATCCTCGCGACTCGCCAGGTATCGGGAAGAGCATCTCGTCGCTGGGAAATGCGAGCGATTCGATCTGACCCCGAAGAGCCATTTCTGAAACTCTCGTTCCCTGGAGCGAGAGTTTGAACGAACAACCATAAACGAGCTCCAGACACAACACTCGTGACTCGCTTCTCCTTCTTTCCTGCTCCCTTCGTCTCCGCGGCCCATAATTTTGTCTCTGTTTCCCTTCTTACATCCTCTTTCTCTCTTTCTCCGGAGAATTATCGAGGGAGTGTCACCGTGATGCACCTGCCTCTTGCTCCGTCTCTTTCTTTCTCTCTTTTTTTTCTCACTCCCACTATATCCCTCTCTTCCTGCCGCCCTCTCCTTCGCTCATCCCTCTCCTTCGTTTCTCTTTCACTCGTCTCGATTTTTGGCCGTACACGCGCCGAGCACACGACTCGGTTCGTATGGAAATTCCATTGGATAGATTCTTCGGTATTCGCGAAACACGTAGCCTCATCTAGCAAATTTAATCTAGCGCATAAGTGGACGGAATAAGCTTTGCTCGAGTAGTTGCTCGTCCCGGAAGTTGGAAGTAAATCAGGAAGAACGTTTCCCGTGTCCGAGAACTTTTCGATTCTCCGTTTAGGAAAGGCCAAAGCGCGCTGCATGTAGGGACGCGTGGTCTCGCACACACAAATCAAGGATGAGCATAATCTACATTTACAGCAGGGGCCCGATGAGCATCTGCTTCCACCCCTCTCGGCCTCGACCCCTCATCCCTCGACGCCCTAACTCGAATCCCTTTCTCCGCCAACGAGCATCCTCCCACTGTGCATTCTCCTCCCGATCACGATCGGTCTCTTCCTTCCTTCTCTGCCACCGATTTTGCTCGCTTTTCCTCTCTTTTCCGTTCACCGACGCGCGCGCGTAAGCCTCGGTGTCGATAGGTCACGCCGCGATCTCCACGCTTTATCGCGAGTCTTATTATCCGCGAAAAATTCCTAATCGTTCTTCCGTCCAGTTTTCGATTCCCCCTCCGTCGTTTTTTTTCATCGATCGCTCGTTTATTGCGTCTCGCATCTTTTTGCGTTCTTCGGGAATTCTGCGTCGGAGATCTTTTTACCGAGGATAAAAATGCGTCCGATAAAGAGAGCAATGAGTCGGCGTTGGATAAAGAAACTATCTTCGTTCGTACGCTTTGTGTCGATACTTTGTCGCAGTAGGTAGTTTCGGAGAAATTTCTCGCGACATAGAAAATTTGATTCTTGGTCCGTTTTCCTGCACTCTTGGCCCAACTTTCGAAACAACTTGGTAGATTTCTTGAGAGGGGAGCAGCATAGAAGTTTACTTTTGAAATCGAAAACTCGTTGGCTGGGAGTAGACTAGCTAGAGCAAGGGGTGGTGAAGTTGGCGAAACGATACGACTCGAATTCCTGACTAATGCAAGTCCCTCGTTACCGAACGCTCGCCGCCATTCGCCGCGCTCCCGTTATGGTCGATATGAATTTGCCACACCGTGAAACACCATCGTCCTGAAACTCTCCTCTTCTCTTTCCCTCCGCGCGAGGTTCCTGCACCACCCGACAACCTCGTTACCCGCGTTTCTCTCTCGCGTCCCGATAAATCCACGGGGAAGAGCAAAAGTCCATTAGCCGAGAACTGGGTTACCGAAAAGAGAATCGCGTCAATAAGAAAAATGCTACTTCGACGTTGGATGCGCGACGAGTTCGCGAGGGCACATGGGAGGCAAAAAACGAGTAGACGCGCGTGTCTGTTGCTCCGGGAATGCCTGGAGCAACGTTCGCCGGAAAGACGAGCATCCATCGTCCTAGAGAGAGTTTCTTGGCAGTCGAACCGAAAGTCACCACCCTACGAAGTACCATATCCTGCTATCCCCGTAGCTCATTGGCGTAGACGCCGCTGTTCTCAACTCGCTCCGTGCGTCTCCGAAGGGTCCACGATAAAAGTAGACTCTTTCCTTATTTACGCCCGTTCGAGGACGAATATTCTCGTCGCTGTCCAGAAATAACCGATCAGCCTTTCCAAAAGAAGCGAAAGCGATCGATCGCCGAGAATCGATTAAGAACCGGCCAGAAGGAACGTCGTCGCCACCTGTAGCTGATCGTGAGGTCGCGTAATCGGGCGAAAAGCTGGCCAACGAAGGTACACGCGTGTGCGAGCATTTGTGCGCGTGCACAAGTGCACGCAACTGCGTGCCGCACTTGGTGGGCTGTTTGTCTGTCTGTGGCGCCGACCTGCACCACGTTCCGAATAGACATCTGGCCAGATTTCGTTAAGTCTGGCCCACGTGTGCACCTATACAGCCGCTCGGATATACGTATAGACGAGTACACGCGACACACACCGGCTCTTTCGAACAAATGTGCATTCGTCTGCTGGCGCCAGCCGAAAAGGGGGCTCTGATTTTTTGGCAGGTGCCACTGTCCTCGACCAGCGTCACCTTCCGACGTTCAATGGC